TGGGGACCTGTGGTCTGTTGACCTAGAGGAAGTCAGGCCTGTTGGGACAATAGGAGTAAACAAAACTGGGGAAAGAAAAAGGAAAAAAAAGTGGGGAAAGGGGCCTGGTCCATTTCCCATGACCCTCTCTAGTGTCCGATTTTTGAGAGCTGTATGAAGCATCTCTGAGGCTTAGGGCTCCAAAAGAAGTCCGCCCTGCAGCTCCCAGGACGGCACTGGTTGCGGCAGAGGTAGGCAACCAGAATGAAGAACTGTGCCCTGGTAATCCTGTCCCCGCAGGAAGTGGAGACCCTTACGTCGCACTGGACCCTCTACATGAACGTGGGCGGCTTCCTGGTGGATCTCTTCTCGTCCACCCTGCTGGGAGCCTGGAGTGACCGCGTGGGCCGCCGCCCGGTGCTGGTGCTGGCCTCGCTTGGCCTGCTGCTCCAAGCTGTGGTGTCCATCTTTGTGGTACAGCTGCAGCTCCATGTTGGCTACTTCGTGTTGGGCCGCATCCTTTGTGCCCTCCTCGGTGATTTCAACGGCCTCCTGGCTGCTAGCTTTGCCTCTGTGGCAGACGTCAGCTCTACCCACAGCCGCACCATCCGAATGGCCTTCCTGGAAGCCTGCATTGGAGTGGCTGGCATGCTGGCCAGCCTCCTGGGGGGCCACTGGCTCCGGGCTCAGGGTTATGCCAACCCCTTCTGGCTGGCCTTGGCCTTGTTAATAGTTATGAGTCTTTATGCAGCATTCTGCTTTGGTGAGACTGTGAAAGAGCCGAAATCTACCCGGCTCTTCACTCTCCACCACCATAAGTCCATTGTCCGACTCTATGTGGATCCGGCCCCAGAGAAGTCCAGGAAGCATATAGCCCTGTATTCACTGGCCGTCTTCCTGGTGATCACTGTGCACTTTGGGGCCCAGGACATCCTGACCCTCTATGAGCTGAGTGCACCCCTCTGCTGGGACTCCAAGTTGATCGGCTATGGTTCTGCAGCCCAACACCTCCCCTACCTCACCAGCCTGTTGGGCCTGCGCCTTCTTCAGTTTTGCCTGGCCGACACCTGGGTGGCTGAGATTGGCCTAGTCTTCAACGTCCTGGGGATGGTCGTCTTTGCATTTGCTAGCATCACACCCCTCATGTTCACAGGTAAAGTGTGTGGGCTCAGGGGAAGCTAGTGGAGGGACACTGACTGAAAACTCAGGGCCAGCTATTTATTGCCCTCAAACATGGTTCGAGCCTGTGTCTTTGGAAACATAGTTATGCCCCAGCCTGCATTGGAGGACAGACAAATAGGAAACCTCAGGAAAATGCCACCCTTGATATACAGGAAGTACAGATCTTCAACAGCCAAAGTAATTAACGCAGTTATCAGCTATAAATATTATTAGTAATATAGAGCAAAAGACAAAAGTATGGCTCATACACTAATTACTTCACCCCTTGGCCTTTCATAGCCTACTCGTGGTGTTCTTAAACAAAGTTCATGCCATTAATGCCTTGATAAGAATTATAGAACCTACCTCAAATCTTGTTCAGCTTCCTCGGGTTTTTTAAAAAGTCCGTCTTCTCAGACCACAGATCTAAAATTCCTGCTTGTTCAAATCCTCTGCTCCTCCTTCTACTCCTCCTGATCCTCCTCCTCCTCCACCTTCTCTTTCTCTTCCTTCCCTCCCCCGTCTGCTTTCTCCTCTCCTCTCCTCTCCTCTTTTTTTGTGTGAGAGGGGAGGTTGGCCAGGGGATAAAGAAGTTAACATCTATAGGGGAAAGATTTGCCTTAATAAAACCCTCAAATGTGTACAAAGTCAGCCATTATATAATCACAAATTTCTTACCTCAGTTGCTTTTCTGATTGGCTGAGAGGACCAGGTGCCTTTCACTCATGGATGCTGTCACTGCTCTGGGGAGTCTCAACAGAGTGCAGTTTGGAGTATCCCAACCCTTGAAGGGGTCCTGAGGTGCCTCATAATATATCCACTTTGGAAGATCCAGTGTCCTCTAGGAATTTGAAGTTTTGTGTAGGAGATAGCAGTCACAGAGGGAGAGGAATAGTTATGAGAAACCAGGTATGCCTGAAAGTAACTAAAGGCAGAAGGAAAACTCACATTTACTATTTTCTCACTCGGCCATGCTCTTCATAGATGTTCTCCCCTTCACTTTGTGTAGAAGATTGCTGTAATAAACTACCACAAATCAGAAGCTCAAAACAACAGAAACTTATTTTTTCCAAGTTCTGGAGGACAGAAGTCCAAAATCAGCACTACTGGGCTGAAATCAAGGTGTAGCAGAGAAACGCTCCCTCCATAAGTGCCAGGAGAGTCACCTCTTCCAGCTTCCTGTAGCTGCCAGCACTCCTTGACTTGTGGCCACATCATCTGTTTCTGCCTCTGTGATTAGCTTGCCTTTTCCTCCTCTTTGTGCCTACTCAGTTCTGCCTGCATCGCATCTCCCTGTTTTCCTCTTATGAGGATATGGGTAACTGCATTTAAGGGCTCGCCCTAAGAATCCAGAGTAATCTTTGTTTCTCAAGATCCTAACCTTAATCACATCTGCAAGACCTATTTTCCTAATAAGACATCAATTACAGCTTCCAGGGTTTAGGACCTTATATCTTTGGGGGCCTTTACCCAGCATCCTGCAATTCAGAACCATTGTTCAATGAAGGCTTTATTATCTTCCTTTCACTGACTAGAATCAGAGAGATAAATTACTCAAGGTCACGCACACAATAAGCAGTAGTATCTGATTTTGAACTTGGGGCTAACTCTAATGCATGCCCTACCATCTCTCTAAGTGCTAGGTGGGAAGGTGATGTCTGTGATGCTCATAAGAGGTATTCTGACAAGAAAGCCATTGGTAGCTGGGCATGGTGGCACAGGCCTGTAATCCCAGCACTTGGGAGGCTGAGCAGAAGGATCACTGAGTTCAAGGCCAGACTGGGCTTCATAGTGAGTTCAAGGCCAGCCTGCACTACATAGTGAGGTCCTGTCTTAAAGAAAGCCATTAAAGAGAGCAGATAAGTGAGCCTGAAGAATGGTGTGGTCTCCACTTTGATCATTGTCTCTGATCCGTTGCATCTTCCTGGGTCTAACCTGAGTTCCACATAGGCATGGGTAGGAGCTGTGCTTCCTCCTACCAGGACACTCTCCTCCCTAGCTCTACTTTCCTGATGAGTTTTTTTTCCTTCGCAGGATATGGCTTGCTCTTCCTGTCATTAGCCATCACACCTGTTATCCGGGCCAAGCTCTCCAAGTTGGTGGGCCACTCAGAGCAGGGTGAGTGTCAGAATCAGCCTTCAGCTGGCTCCTCGGGCCCAGCATTTCCTGAACTGGGCAGATGGGCAAGTCAACACTGTCTTCCTCCCTTCCTCCCGGGAGGAGGATGTGGCTAAGACAGATACACATCTGTTAAATTGCCCAGGGCTGGTAGAGGACTGTACTGCCTCAGTTTTTCAAGCCACAGAGCTGGGATTTGCTTAGCTGGCCATGATTTTGTTCTTTCTGGATAACCACAGTGGAACATTTACTCTCAGCAAGCCCTAGCTTTTCTATCTGTTAAATGAGTGTAACACCAGGGTTCCCTGCTTCACTAAAGTCAGAGCGTAGCCCGGAGGAAATGGACAACTTTATCACATAGGTTTCCTTGTCCCCAGCTGACAGATGGAGAAATAGAGGCCCAGATTGTTAAATTGACTCACCCGAGGTCACTCAGAAAATGGTGAGACTAGGATGCAAATCCGGGTCTGTTCTTTTGAGACAGGGTCTCACTATGTAGTTGAGGCTGCCCTGGAACTCACTGTGTAGCCCAGGCTGGTCTCAAACTCACAGCGATCCTCCTTCCTCAGCATCCCGGTTGCTGGGATTACAGGCGTGCGCCACCATGCCCGGCTCCAGGTCTGTTTGTAAGAGCAGTGGGGCTTGGGAACTGGGTTTTTGTTCTGGCTCCCGTTCCTCATCTGTAGCATGAGTGATTCGCTTTGATAATATCTACAGATGTTTTCAGCTCTGACTGATAGTTTAATCTCAGTTTCTATTGAGTTGGTGCTCATTCTCTGATATAACTAAAAGCAGCCCCTCAGACCTCTAGGTCCTTGTGCTCCAGTCTGAAACCAGCTCTCCTGAAAGGAGGATCTGATGATGACAGAGATCCTGGTGTCATACACAGCCCACTGTCAGTTCTGATGTCCCCAGACCCCAAGTGGTTTGATTCTTTCTAGCTTTTTTCCCAGCACTTTTCACTGTACCCAGAGACCCCAAGGGCAACAGGAGAAAAGAACAGCCTTACTAATGTAGCTACCTCCAGGGGTCCACTCTATGATAGGTGCTGTACAAGTGAGCTTAAAGCTGCAGCAGTCTATGAATTAGCTTATGGCCTTATTTCACAACAGGAGGAACAGAACCCAGAGGGATAAACTACTCTTCAGGGTGCACACAGCACCCTGAAGAGTTGGACCTGGCAGTTAAACCAACACTTAATCCCAAACAGGAGATGATTGCAAAAATGAATAACCCAAAAGTGCCATTTCTATTTGGCTTTCAATAGAAGATATCTCATAGACCTGCTGTGGATTTAATAGAAGCCATTTATTTAGTAGCCCCTCTGTGCCAAGTCCTTTCCATACATGACTTTATGAATCTGTCACACAGGTGAGGGGGGTGAGACTTAGAGAGGTTAAGTGACTTGCTCCAGGTCACACAGTTGAGCGGTGCTGGGGCCAAGATTTGACCCTGGGTCTTTGAAACTCCAGAGGGCGGCATTTATTTCTTCACAGGTGCTCTGTTTTCTGCTGTGGCCTGTGTGAATAGCTTGGCCATGCTGACGGCCTCCGGCATCTTCAACTCGCTTTACCCTGTCACTCTGAACTTCATGAAGGGATTCCCCTTCCTCCTGGGAGCTGGCCTCCTCTTCATCCCAGCCATCCTGATTGGGTAATGCAGGGCCCTAAACCCATGTTCATAACAGAGCCCTTTATCCTAAAGGTTTCCTCTGCTTCCCCGCTGGAAATGAAAGGTTCATTCCCAGACCTTTCTCTGGGTGTCCCGTCTCAGGCTGACTCTCCTCTCACAGATGCCTAATCCTGCAGGAGCCGTTCCACGAGGGCACGGTGGCAGGGCAGGTGGGGGCAGCACTTGGCAGGGCCATGTTTCCCCCATCCCAGCAGCAGGCCTCCTCCTCTGTCCCATTGCACAGATAGGACTATGGTGGACTCTCAGAGAGCATCCTCAGCTACTTATGGCCAGACCACAGGCCAGCCTGGCCCCCTGACTTTTTCCTAATGGTCTGAAGTTATTTTCTAGAGCTGTCTATCTCTGGGAATTGTCCTCTGCCTTTCAGCTTTGGGAGGTGGACCCCCACCCCCAGTCAATCCTGTGTCACCTCTCCAGACAGCAGTTGAGGGTTTCCCCAGGTCAACTCTGTACCCTCTGGTCTCTCACAGGATACTGGAAAGGATTAGTCCTCGCCCTGAATTCCAGCAGTTTCCCCAGAGCCCCTGATGTGCCTGGGCCTGAGGAGCAGAGTGAGCACGACCTGACCGTGAGTCTGACCTGGGATCCCAGCCCCCTGCAGCACCTGCAGCTCCCCTGAAGGACAGCAGCAGGGAGCATCTGGGGCAGCAGTCTGTTTACCCTTCCACCATGCCTTACCCTTCCGTCATCTGAGAGGGGAGAGGTCTTGGAGGTGACACTTTGGGGCCCAGGTGAAGCATGAGGACTGGCATCTCTCCTTCCAGCTCACATTGCAGAGTGCATGGCACTAGTTCCTCTGTCACTCCTGACTGATAAATCCGCAACCTGGTTAGTGTTCGGGAAGGGGAGGCCGTGGGCAGGACCTGGTGCCCTTTGGAGGGAGAGTGCTGCTGTCACTGTGGTTGGAAATTAATCCTGATTATGGCCTGCCCGCCAGTCGTCACAATGAATCAGCGGAGTCAAGCTGAAAAGAATCTTCATTGGGGTTGGGGTCCTCTATTTTCCTGCTTTTGGTCTGCCCGACACGGTACAGGTACCAGCAGGAGCTGGCCTGGGCGGGTGCCCCTAAACTGCCTGTGGGAGTGGCACTGGGTGCGTCCTGCCAGCCTCATCTGATTTCTCTCAACTGTGCGATGTGAAAGGCCACCAGGCTTGCATGAAGCCAGCAGAAAAGCACAGGGCAAGCGGCTGTGGAGACACACACCTGTGGCCCCAGCTACTCTGGAGGCTGCGGCAGGAGGACTGCTGGAGCCTAGGAGTTCAAAACCAACCTGGGCAACACAGCAAGGCCTGTGTCCAAACAGAAAAACAGAGACGGGCTTGGGGCAGAGCCCTGGCTCTCCATTCCTAAGGTGCTTGTACTGCTCTGTCTGGCTGCACCAGCCGGCCCAGTCAGATCACTTTTTGTTGCCACTCCGCCCTCAGACTACTCCTGTTGCTGAGCACTGCAGCGGAGCCGTATGCCGAGACTGTCCCTCTGGAGGTCAATGGGAACCTAGGAGCTGGGCCCAGTTTCCTACATAATCCATGGCCCCAGATTCCCAGAGAATGAGTCTGTTCTTAGGGGGTTAGGAAGTTGAAAGGCAGAATCTTATTTAATAATAAGCCACTGGCTTTGATGAAGGCTGTAAGTCCCCAAGCAGACCGAACTCGGGGTACTTAACTTCAAACCACAGTGCCCATTGCGCCTTGCCCTGCTGCTGTTGCTCCCCTTTCTCTCTCACATGCTCTGCAAGCCAGTTTCCTGCCTGGAAATCATTCAGGTGACATGGTAGCCCAGGGCCTGCTGGGGCCTCTGCAGCCTGGACCCATGTCTCCAGACAACTCTCTCACTGTCCCCTTTGTAACTGGGAGATCTAAGCACCGGTAGGGATTCCACTGACCCAGCCACCATGAGGCTGCGAGGAGAGGAGGGCAAAGGCTCTGAGCTGGCCTCTGGCCAATTGCATGACCTCGAGCAAGCCCCCCTAGGAAGGGCTAGGTCAGCAGTGCCCCAAGCTGTCTGATCATGGGGCCCACATCTAGGGGGACATGTTAGGAAGCACATTTGTCTGATGCTGTGAGATCTTCCCACCCCTTAGAGTCCGGAATGAGATCCCTGTCTTCTTGGGCCTGGGTAAGGATGAATGAATTGTGGCTGGACTTAGAGCCTCTGAATGTCTGGGAGCAGTTCACGGCCTTTGGAAAAGGGTAGGCAAGGTGGGGTAGGGACCTCACCTCTCTGACTCAGTCCCCGTCTGGGGGCAGCTTTGTCTAGCCAGGCAAAAAACACTGACCCTCAACACCCATGGCAGAGCAGCCTCTGGAGAACAATCAATCCTCAGGGACCATGTCTGGTAGGAGCAGCATCAGGCTAATGGTGCTTGTCTTGGCTACAAGTGATCAGTGTTCGCAAAGAGGCTGTCACTGCTGAGTACACTGGCCTGGCTGGGCTGGAGGATGGGCTCCAGTTATCCCAGTACACAAATGAAGGCAAAGAGGTCAGCCAGAAGGCCAGACAGTGGAGGTGGACTTCCGTGGAAAGTATGCTGAACCGAAGAAAACCCATGAGTACTACCCGTGGGGCCCTCTGAAAGGAGCGGGCTCACTGGGGACACAAAGACAGAAAGCTTCCGTGGGAATGCCTGTACCCTGCATTGTGATCAACTGGACTCTGTGAGGGCCACATCCAGTCTACCTCATCCTCACATCCAGGACAGAGCCTGGACCTGCACTGGCAAACTTGTGGTAAGGGAGGATTATGGCTAGTCTGAGCCACAGCCAGTCTGGCACCAGTGGGAGATGGGGTGTTTGCCAGGGAGGAAAGTGGAAGGCAGACTTCCCAAGCCTGGATGAAACTTGACTTCTTGATGATGTGGCCCAAAAGCAAGGAGCACCCTGGCCTGATCCACACATAGGGAGTCCGGGAGCAGTCCCAGCCTCAGGGTGGCCTTGGAGGGGAACAGTGTGGCAGGGACAGCCAAATCCACTGGCTGGGTTGGTGGAGGGAGGGCACTTTCCCCTTTCCTACTCCTGGAGAGAGAGGCAGAAGGACACTTGCTTTGTTATTTCTGTGTAGCTCCTGGGTTGGGCTTTTGGCTAAAATCTGTCCCAATGCCAGAGTCTGAGGCAAGGGACCAGACACGGCCTTGGGCGTGCTCCAGAATGAGTCTCAGGACAGCAGTTTCACCAGCAGTGGCTGGGTGCCCAGAGGCCTGGGTGTGGATCCTGGCGTTGTCCCTAATGGCTTTGGGAACTGGGCTCATCACTCAGCCTTTCTTCCTTACTGTAAAGTGGGAGTGATCGTTCTGGATAGGGTTGCTGTGATGGTTAGACCATGAGTGGAGTGCTTGGGAAATGGCAAGGATTCAGGAGGGACTTGCTGCTCTGTGTCATCCCTTGACCACCAACATCAGCTCTCCTGGGAGTCAGAAATGCAGACTCTCAGGCCCCACCTGGGATCTCCTGAAGTGAATCTTAACAGACATCCCAAAGGATTTGAAAGGAAGTCCCAAAGGACTTTCCACTTGGGGAAACTGCCCAGGGTAATAACCCTTGCCCTCCTGGATCGTGCCTCTTCCCACAGAACTGTAAGTTCTGCCCAGGCTACTGGTGCTGCCAGGTGGTTGCCTGGTCCTTCTCTTCCCTGAGAAAGCGGATGGGAAGCCCTGGGTGGGTGAGGAGTGAGGGAAGCCAGAGGGCCCAGGCCAGGCAGGAGCCTCGGGCATAGCACCAAGGCATATGGTAGGGTGAGCTTGAAAAGAGGCCTCCCTGCCCAGTCCCAGGTCCAAGCCAGAGGTTCCTGTACCACAGACCAGCCAGATGGCCAGCTCAGCCTAACCTTGAACCTGGCTGTGGCAAAGGAGGCTGTTGCAAAGGAAGGCTGGGAGGGGCACTGAGTGGTTACAGGGCAAGGCCACATGGCAACAGGAAGTGGTGAGCCAGGGGCAGGCACAGTCGGAGTGGACAGCCACTGTGGGACTCTCATCCCTGGCTGCCGCCTGGGCCCAGGCTCTTGCTTGGACTATGAGGCCAGGCACAGGAGGCCTGGGCATTGCCCACTTCCTTCCTGTCAGAGGCTGCCTACTCTCACCCTTCTCAAGCCAGCTACCCTCGGGGTAGGAGATGGAGAACTTGCAGTAACCCACCACCATCTCCTGTGTCTCCACAACTAAGCAGCGACACAGTTGGTGTGGAAGACAGGGGACCTGACGGCAGGGCCTGAGGGTAGAGGAGCACTCTCCCACCCCCATGCCTGAGTTCTTTCCCTTCCATATACTGAGGTTTGAAGTGGGCCAGGAGGGTGAGGGACAGGGAGAGCCACTTCCTGAGAAGAGCCCAGGCTGTCTCAGCCCAGACTGGCCAGGCGTTGTACTTTCGGGAGGAAATGGGTGCCATAGCAGGGCTTGGAAACTGGGGTCTGGTTAAGGTGGGCCCATGGGTGCAGCCCCCTCCAAACTTGTATCAGAGCCTGCAGATGAGTCTCGGGAGGAGCGGCCCTGCAGGAAGCGGATAATCTTCTCAATGGTGGCCTCCTGGTACTCGTGGGACCACCTGTGGGCACAGAGGCTGAGTGAGTCAGAATGCAGGGCAGAGGGAACTGGGGTGATTTGTGCCCCCCTACCTTGTCCCCAGGGCCTTGGGACTCACTTGATGCCATTGAAGGTAAGCACTGCCTGCATGTCCTCAGGCAGAGCCTGGGGCTCAGGCCACTCAAAGCCATCAATGATGGGCACAATATTCTTGCCACAGCTCAAAGCAGTAACAATCTCCTGGAGAAAGAAAAAAAAAAAGAGGAAAAGAGACCCCTGTCTCATCTAGGATCAGGGAGGTCCTTCCAAGCCACCTTGACATCTCTTTCATACATTATAGGATAAGAACAATCTCTGTAGCTCAGTGTGGTCAGTTACGTGAGAGGCTGAGGCAGAAGGATCGAAAATTTGAGCCCACTCTGGGCAATTTTTAGCAATTTAGGGAGATCCTGTTTCAAAAAATATAAAGGGGCTGGGGATGTATCTCAGAGCGAAGACCTATGTTCAACACCAGGGCCACAAAACAAAAAACACACTTTGGTCTTTGTCCTGGGACAGAGCTCAGAGCTCCTAAAACCACTGCAGTGTCCTGAGTGGTTAAGAGGGTCTTTTGCTAATGACATGATTCCTAGCCAGGTTTCAGTGAGTAGGAGTGGTGGTTTAGAAAGCTTCAAGATGAGGGCTGGTCACCAAAAGACCAAGGCAAGATTTGAGGGCTGGGACTTTCTGCCACAGCCCACAACTTCTAACGGGCTCCCAGAGTCTCTTTTCCAGTATATAAAGTAGAGTTAATGACAGTTCTCAGCTTGTAGGGTTGGTGCATGGATTAACCGCAACAGTCCATTGAAGTGATCAGGGCAGCGCTTAGCATACAGTGGATGCTTAAGAAATAAGATGTGTTCTGATTTCCTCTTTTGAAGTGGGAATAAAAAAAAATACCCTACAAGGTTGTTCTGAGGATCTTTCTTACTATTGATGGTGCTCTGGTAAGTGCTTATTGAGTCATGTTTTCCTTTCCAGGGTGATCTCAGAGGAGGGACTTTCTGGAGTGCAGTTCCCTTGCGGTTTTTCTATATTGATTGCTCACTAAATGTGGCTTCAGGGAAAGAAGTATTAAAACCAGAAGCCATTAGGCACTAAAAACAGCCAAAGAGGGATGACAGAGCCTTTGGGACTGGTCCAAGGCAAAGGCCGCCACCTCCCTGCTTCCCTTCTCTGCCATCCTCCCTCCTGTCCAGCTGCTGAGACAATGGGTGCTGAGCACCCTCATAGAGAGGGGAAGGCGCCTGCGTAACTCCAGTCCTGACTGGATTCCTCTCCACTTTATAGATGATGGGAAGGAAGGCCAGAGAGGGGAAGGGACTTCACCTCCAGGTCACACAGACATCCAACCTGGAGGAGACAGGCCTCCAGCTCAAGCCCTTAGAGTTCAGGCTCCAGGCCTGAGGCTTCTCCTGTGTATCTAGATGAATTCTGACACTGCTGAGATTAATTTGATGACTTTTAGACATTTATTTCTGCTGAAAGTCCACAGACCCAAGGACAGTACAGACTGCTCACTGCACAGATTCATTTGGAGGTGGCCAAGAAAGGCTTCTTCAAGATCAGCTGCTGGGAGTAGTGGTGCACGCCTGTAATCCCAGCACTTGGGAGGCTGAGGCAGGAGGATTGCTGTGAGATCAAGGCCAGTCTGGGCTACATAGTGAGACTCTCTCAAAACAAAACAAAGCAAAAGCAAACAAAAAAGATCACTCAGCTACCTGAGAACAAAAACTTGACTAAAGTCAAATCTTTGGACCCTGTAAACCTAGTAGGCATGGATCAGAACCACTCATCTACTTAATCATCACTTCCATTATTCTATAGACTGAATGCAACCCTACCCCCAGACCCCCCCTCCCAGGGACCCAGGTCTGTGTCATGGAACAAATGGGTTTTGGGAAACGGCATGGGCTTCGGGGTTAGAACAGAAAAGGTTCCAACAGACAGGGTTGGAAGTCCAGCTTTTCGGATTTCTACACTGGCAGTGTGGGCGTGTAAAAATTATTCTACTTCCTGCACTTCAGTTCCTTCATCTGTGTGATGGAGAGAGCAACAGCAGTGATGCAGGTAGCTGTGGCACCTTCTCATCCCTGTGATTCCTTCGCTCAGACCATTGCCCTGCCTGGGGTGCCTTCTGCTACTCACCTATGTTCTGTTTTTGTTGGGGGGACAGTATTAGGCATTGAACCCAGGGCCTTTGCAGGTGAGCTCCATCCCCAGCCCACTTTTTATTTTGAGTCAGGGTTTCACTTAGTTGCGCAGGCCAAGCTGGAGTTTGTGATCCTCCTGCCTCAGCTTCCCAGAGTGCTGGGATTATAGGTGTGCACCACCAGGCCTGGCTTCAGCAACATTCTTAAGACTTTTCTCAGATCCTGCGTACACCATAAAGCCTTCCATGGTTATTTTATCCCTCTCTGCTTTCTCCCTCTCTATATTCCCATAGCAAGTTGGAGGTTTGCCCATCTGGATTAGCATTTATACCGACTCATATATGATCCAGTCGTCATAGGCATATACTTGTGGGGGGGGGGATTGTATCTCACTACATTGCTCAGGCTGGTCTTGAACTCCTAGGCTCCCAAATAGTTGAGAGTAGGATAGAGGAGGTAGCCCGGTGGTAAAGTGCTTGCCTAGCATGTAAGGCCTGGATTCAATCCCCAGTACCACAGACAAATATGCAAAAGACCATGAACCAAGTATCTGGGACCATAGGAATGCAACATCGTGCCTAGCTCATTCTGTATCTTATCTCAGCTGCTTGAGGACAAGAACCTCATTGCAGGTCTGGGGATTTAGCTCAGTGGCACCAAGCCCGCCTGATGAGCTCAAGGTTCTGAGTTTGATCCCTGGTACTGAAAACAAACAAACAAACAAACCTCATTGCAAATGACCACTGCATCCCTCAGCTCCAACCCCAGTTATCAGTGATTGATTAATGACTAATCATTAGGTGGATCCATCTATCCATCCATTCTATAAGTATTCTAAGTTCCTACTGTCAGGCTTGACCTGGTGGTGAAATGGTTAATGAATGTGCTCTTTAATTCCAAGCTACAGTTTGACAAGACAAAAAACCATAACAGAATAGCCCATGCAGGTGCTGTCTCTGCCGCTGTGCTCCTTGGAGCAGATAGAACAAAACACAGGATGGGATGTTCCCAACATAGAGATAACAATTACAGAGTACAACATCTTTTCAATGCCAAGTCACCTAAAAATATCCATATGTCTGCCTCGATTACTGCACAGACCCCAACCACAAATATTTGCTCTGACCACTATATGCGATAGATGTGCCAGCCCTCTCTTCCAATGCCCTGTGAAACTTCCTGCCCTTTCTGTTTAGTGCTGACAGCCTCTTGCTCACCATCAGTCCACCTCTGCCTGGGTGAATAAAGTCTGTACCTCTTTGCTTTCACTAGCATGCTCAGGTGGTCTCATCCCTCAGCTGTTTGTTGCACTTACAATGTGTCACGCACCGAAGGTACGCTGCTGAGTTAAACAGATGTGGTGAGCGTAATGATTATGTTACTGATAATAGTTAGCATTGTCAAGCAGTTGTCATGTGCTAGGCATTCTAAGAACTTCACAATTTAGCTCTTTTAATCCTTGTAAACAATGTCCTAGGGACTTAGGTACTATTATGATCCCTTCTTTTCAGTAATGAACATAAAGGTTCTTGGAGCTAAGTAGCTTGCCCAAGACCAGAGTCTGGATTCAAATGTAGTTTCTCTCTCTCTCTCTCTCTCTCTCTCTCTCTCTCTC